TATAGAGAGGCTATGACTAGTCATCTAAAATATAAAACAAAATTCATGTTACTGCTCATCTATCACAATATCATCTGATACCAAATCAATATTAGAACAAACACATCAACAACTTGCCTATGGATTAAAATTAAAAAAGAAACTTCATTATCTCATTTATAAATAAGGTGAAATGCATCCTTGTGTCAAAAGAGTTTAGCTGCAGAAAATGTTGGAGTTTTTCTTTGTCTCTTTGTCAGAATTTCATTGAAACATTTGCAGAAATGTCAGCTCTCTGTAGAGGCATGATGTTGACACAGTCAAGTGACAAAAAGTAGGTGGTTGCATTTGAAGCCAGTAACTTGATTACAATATCTTACTGTTTATGTATGGGGCCAACAAAAACATACTACCTACTAACATTCAAGGGAAATTTGTTAAAAGAGAAAGTAATTATTATCTTAAGGGGATGGAGATGTTTGTGAAGCCGTGGTGTCGCACCAGTCTGAAGATGCGATCCACTATATCTCAGGGTATTAGATTGTGGAATGATCTGGAGGTTGATATTAAAAATGCCAAAACTATGTACATATTCAAGAGGATGATAAAAATTTGTTTTTTTTTTTAAATATTAAGTATAATGTGAGTTCATAAAAATTGTTTACAGTTGATCTTATATTTTAGCTAAGTTTTTTTTAATTATTTTTTACTTTTTTATTTTTTTATAAATTCATCTTGCTTTTGTATAGTAATTTTGTTTGGAATATATTTTGGGGACAAGGGGCAGATATTATAAGAATTCATTCTTCTTCTGCTGCCTTTCATTTTATTTCGGTGATTGTATATCTTTTTTCTTTTCTTTATATTGTATTATATTTGTTGTTTGGATGAAATGAAATGAATAAATACAACATACATACATACATACAACTTGTGCATCTGAGAGAAAAGACAAAGACACAGCTAAAACTTCATGTTGTTTGACATCAGCTCTGTGCTCGTTACCAAGTCAGATTTAAAATTAATTTAGGACAGTCAGTTTTTATTGTTCAGGTGCAGTAGGCAATGGATTCTTTATTTATTTTAATATTTGCTGCAAATATGTAATTTAATTTTAGTTTGGTATAGTTGACTGATATCTTCCACTTTTCCAACAACATTTTATGAACTGAATGATTCATGAGAAAAATAAATTTACTAAAAAGGACCAAAAAATGCTGAGTGTAATTGACTCGGAAGAAAACTGCTTAATGTAAAACACTAGCTTAAAGCTAAAAGTAACATATAGCTAGCTCAAACCTAAAACTAGTAAAACTGTAACTCAAAGCTAAACTGCAAAAACTAGCTAAAAGTTAAACGTGACAGAACTCCAGCTTAAAGGTTAAAATGGCAAAAAGGCCTGAAACTATGCATAGCAAATTAATAATTGCACATAAAAAGATTCAAGTTAAAAGTGACAATATGCTAATTAAAAAAAATAGAAGCAGGCTAACTAAAAGTAGTGAAAGATACCAAAAATAGAGCAAGTACAGTATGCTGGATCAGATGTCAAAGCGAACAATGATTTTGAAAGAAATATAGATTATTATGTATTTATATGTGGAAAAAGTTTGTAAAGTGTTTTTAAAAAGTATAAAAGTTACAAAAATCAAAGCCAAAATGTCCTTAATGGGTTCAACATTTAGACAAAATGGAGAATTACAGTATTTGATTAAAATGGTACAAAAGACAAGAAAGAATAAAGAGAAACCAGTGTGATGCTGAATGAGCATTCACACAATACTTGTGTTCTGACTGGATTCAGTCACCTGGTAGTGCATGAGTGTGTTGAGTCTCTTCCAGTCGCCTTCGATTTTTGTTGTGATGTCCTCATCCTGCAGGACCACTCGAGCTGTTCTGCCTTGCCGCCACTCTGTGGGAAACAAGGTCACTTGTGAATTGGTGATACTTAGGTGTGTAATGTTTACATCCCACATGCCTGACACATATTTTCTCATATCTGAAATGGATTATTTGCACTACACTAGAGGTTATGTTACCCCTGTGTATTATGTTTATTCTTTAAAAAACAGGAAGTTGTCAAGCGTAGCAGCCAAAATGTCAGCAACACTGCTTCTTGTCCTTGAAAATTACAGATTGCTATTCTGTGACGCAAACAAAAAAGACAGTTATATTGCCTAAAGCTATCCAAAGCAGCCGACACATCCTCACCAAATGCCAAACCTGTAAAAAGCCCTTTAAGGTGTAAAAGTACAAGCCCAAAGCACTATCATCACAGTGTCTTATTTCCTGCGTCTGAAGGTGCATGCCACCTGCATTTGTGCCGTGTTGTTGAGTATTCCCTGACGTGGTGGTTGTAAGCCTGAGAGGAGGTGTTCTGTCAAAAAGATTTAACGTCACTTAACCCTGGACTGTTATTGTGTCTCCAGCTGCAAACAGGTAGAGAGGACAGAAACAGACCCATTGATGATGTCACACATCCTGAGATATTTATAGCCACTGCCACTTCTGTCTATTTTACAGATACTGAACTGGAACCTGGTAGTTATAGTAATAGTACTAAGTTATAGTTATAGTTTATAGTCATACACAATGCAGGGCCAAGATGGGGTAGAGGCAGGGCAGCCAACTCAGGACCCAAAAGTCCCAGGTTTGATCTCCAGTCATTGCACATTTCGTGGTGTCTCTGAGCAGGACACCCTATCCCCAATTGCTCCACGGGCGCTTTTACTAGCTGCCCACAGCTCTACCTGGGGGTGGATGGGTTAAATGCAGAGAGCCAATTTTGCCATTGAATGTGAACATACAATGATGACAACACATAACACATTATTATTATTATTATTATTATTATTATTATTATTATTATACTTCAAGTGCTCATTGTTGCACAAGATCTTTGCTTAAAACTTTGGCATTACCTCATGGAGTCACCGCTGCATGTCTGTTAAATATCTAATGAATCATTGGACATGTTTCAATGAGACTTCCATAAAGTAATTGTTAGATGTGTCTCCAACTTATTAACTTTTGTAGTCATTCTAATTAATGATGGCTGCCACAGCTTATCGACATTATCCAACCCAAAACTGGTTATAACTCAGTCCATTTTACAGATATTGAGCAGATATTTGTGGTTGTACCATTCATAACACGTACTCTGAGCGTGACATCTCACCATATTGCATAATATCTTACATAACATTATTTTCAAGCTACAACCAAAAACACCTCAGCTGTATTTCTCAACATAAAATGATCTCAGATTACATTTTTGACAGGAAAGGTGGCAGGTGGTATGCATTCCTTTAAGAAATGCAATGCCTTTGATTAAAAAAAGTTTTCTTTTGCTCACCCAGGTCCATGTCTGTGGCTCGTGGTCGCTGTGAGTATGGCATGTTCTTGTACACAGCATCCAGGATCTTCTCCTTTACCTGGGTAATGGTGTCACAGTTGAGCACCTTGACAGGGATTTCTGGGCTGTTCTCATTGTCGGAGTTCACGCAGCTCAGCGTCTGGAGATCCAGAACAGAGAGAAAATGGCAGTGGAAGAAAGAGAACGAAGAAGAGAGAGGTGTTGCTTTGGGGGTGGGCTCTCATTACCTGCTCCTCACCAAACTGTCCTGGTGCAAAGCATCTTGGCTTGAAATGTAATTTCACACCTCCAGGATGTGGCTGTGCAGCTCTGGCAGGAGCATTAAACAAGTAATGAGACAGTGCCTCTCACACTCTCCGACAGGGCGATCAGAGAGGTGTCATCTTGTCGCTGACTGGCTCTGTTCGGCAGCTAAAGCCAGAGGGGAAACTTATTCTGACGGCTGCTGGAGGAACCCAGCCAGCACAGTTTTAATGGAAATATAAAAGACAAAGACATGCCTTTGGCCCTGTCACTTAACTGTGCTGATTATTATGCAGAAAATTACCAATTTGGCACACCAGCATCCTTAATTATATTTAACAGTTTGCATACATAAAGTTATCTTATTTTTTTTTATTTATTTTTTGCTGCTGCTTTTTTATGAGTAGCCAGACTTGATAAATGATCACTTACAGATGAGTAAGTGATCATTGTAAGAGTAAGTAAAGAAAATGTCCAGTACAAGGTAAAATGTGGTCCTGGTTTGCTTTTAGGGGCATTCAGCTGACATGGTCGCTCTTGGAGGGATTAATCACAGCATCTCAAAACACCTTTCTGAGTTGTAACTTTTAATTCTATGTAAACCTTTTAGTTTTTATAAAAGTTGGGCTCAAAGGTATAAAAATGACTTGAGTCCCAATATACTGTAATGTATCACATATTTTGCATGTATCTTTTTTAGCCATTTATCAAATCTTACCATTCAGACATGTCTTTAAGCATGTTGTGTATTTTATCATTTCACAACAAGCATCTGTTAATTTGAAAGAATACAAATGGATAACAACAAAAAAAGACTAAATCATGTCATCTGGACCAATTTTTTAAGTGAGAAACGTTTCAACTATATAAATGTTTTAGACCAGAGGTGTCCAATCCTGGTCCTCGAGGGCCACTATTCTGTACATTTTACTTGTTTTTATGCTGCAACAAACCTGGTTCAATGGTTGAATTACCTCTTCATGTTTTACAGAAGCCTGTTAATCATCCATTGATTCAAACCAGACATGTTGGAAGAGAGAACCAGTGGTGTAGTCTATGCAAAACGTGGGTATATAGAGTATAAACACTATAAAAGTGTGGTAACTTCAGTATACCCACTTAAAAGTGCCCAATAACACAAGCCCATGTCACATATCATTGGCAATGATACATGTCAACACATCTGGAACATTTTATAGACACTTTGAGTTGGTTCAACTGTACTTACTACTTAATACTTGGATGTGTTTTGCTTTGACACTGTTTAATAAATTCTACAATATGTTTTAATACAAAGCCAACTGTTGTACAAAGTTTGTTGTACATTTATTCAAATAAAAGCATCAGATAATTTTTGAAATGTTCAATATGCTTAAAAATAGAAATAAATTAACAATTACATTGTACTAACCAGTGTACTTTGGTTTCTAAGCACAGTATACCTACTACAAAAATGTAGACGACACCACAACCCTCTAAAACGTGCAGGATGGTGGCCCTCCAGGAGTGTACAGTGTACACCCCTGTTTTAGACAAAAGTTTTAGATAGTCCTTTTCACACCATATGAGGGAATATGTTTTAGAAGATTGGAGTTACATACCACCTGGAGCTTTAAATGTGTTGAGGCTTTTCTAACAGCATACTGACGTCCAACTTGTTATGTATTCATGTATATTATATTGGAAACAGCATCTGAGTTGCAAAAATGTTTGTCTTATCAGTGTAAAGTGGGATTTTCAAGAAGAGCACATTTTATGTTGTATCATGTAATCCTAGTTTAAGTAGGAAAGACATTTGGTGGTTTACTCATTCTGCAAACCAACAGTGGACATTAAAACGTAAAATGAGGGCTCTGGTGTTCCTAATTGATACTGCAAACATATTATTATGAAAATTAGTCAATCAAGTCAAAGCAAGTGACCAAAATAAAGGTAGCAAAATTAGACAATCTTTTTGGCCATTTGTTTTTATGAAATTTTGTTTGGACCTTTTTAGAAGATGAACAATTAATTGAAAGTAATCTTATAATGTTTTTGAGAGGTGCTGTCATCTTTAAAATTAACTTTTTTAATGATAAACTGTTTCAGTTTCATCATTGGATATGTTTACTATGTTCCAACGTGAAGTGAATATGGTTTATGAAATTTGTAAATTTTTGCATTCTGTTTTCATTAACATTTTATACATTAGCTCAACATTTTTGGAAATGTGGATGTATAACCTCAATTTGGCAATCAATGAATGTGTGAGAGTTTTTCACAAAGTGCAAAAAAAAAAAAAAAACAAGTTTTGGATTTTTTTTCCCCTTCTGGATGCTTTTGTGACTCACCAGTGTCTTGTACTCAATCTGCTGCCGGATGAGTTTGTCTTCACTGAGGGAATAGCGGGCCTCTCCTGTGATGGAGTCTATGGGTCCCTTTTCCATTTGCTGTTTGATGGCACAGAACAGCATGAAGAGAGGCTCGCCAGCACACTCCTTTTGGATGGAAACCCGGAGATTAAATGGATAGGTGGGAGAAAAAAGAGCAGGACACAGGAAAGAAATGATGGTAAGGAAAAAGATTGTAATAGCTGGAGCACGCTTTGTCTAATAAAATCTATTTTATCACAAAAACTGGAGAAATGTTCCACATCATAGGAAATGCACTATAACCATTGTGTGGTGTGCATCAAACACATCAATTCATAGGTCTTTAAATCACTGCCACAGCACAAGAATACCCAGCAGTCTTTTTAAAAATCGATGCAAATCATTTTAAGAAGCAGAGCTTTTGTGCATCGCTCTGACACCTGTAGCAGAAAAGCAGGAGAAAGGCTTCATTTTACCTTGAGAAATTTGTGGAGCAAGAAGGCAAACCAGTTTGTCAGCATCTTCTCTGCCACCGACTCTGTTCTGCAAGACAAGAAAGGGACATGCTCATTTGTTATCAAGAGACATCCCACAGAGAGCCAGAGTGCTCTGATTACTTTTTTTATAATTGTAGGCGTACAAGAGCTTAACGGTGTTGAAACCAAAAGACATAGCCCGAAGAGCTCCCAAGATTCTCACTCAGCCACTTGGCCTCAAAGGACACACACTTTACTTTAACATGAGTGCTACTAGAGCACAACATATTTGGGTCATGACATAATTGTGTGCTTGTAAGGCCTCTTCAGGTCTCTTACTCCATTTCTTTGTATTGCATGTGCTTAGCTGTTTTAGATGCATCCATAATAGAAAGATTTATGATTTCTGGTGTGTATTGCATCTGAATTTTCTGTAGAAATAAGATATAAACCATTCTTTTTCTAAAGCTGATCTGAAGTTTGTCTAATCTGGTGCCTTTATTGCACAATTTTTTACCGTTTACCTGCATTTCTACCTTGTACTGATGTGACTGTTGATGGGATCCTATTAAACTTTAGAGTGTTTGTGCAGGAGAAGCAGGTTTGAGCTAACAACTTCTTGTACTGGCTCCTACATGAATTCATCTTTATATATGAGTGCGCTTCAAATTGAGAGGAGAGCACTTTTCCAGCACAAAAAAAATCTTATGAAACATTCAGCAAGCTGGTCTCAGCCCTGGAAAAACAATCGCCAGATAACTAGAAGTGGAAAGAATGGGGGAAGAGGCGAGAGAACGGAGAGGAGGAGAGGTGACGGGAACAGTAACGTGAGCTACAGCTGAATGTTTCATGAGGAGCTCACAGGAGATAAGTCAGACTGACAACAACTCTGCTGCCACTGCACTCACTCTTCCCCATTAGGTTCCCTTCCTCTGCCAGTCCCTCCTGCTCTCTATCACTTTTAACACTCCTGTCTTTCACTTGTCTGCTCAGCCACCCTGTTTCTCAGACTCGTAACCAGTGTTTCACACGGTTGCGCAAAACAAAGCTGAAGAGAGGTGGGTTTTCCTCCACTGCCCCAGTTACTCAGCCTTTAGAAGTGTGGTAAATGGGCTGGAAAGAACAATGCAGTGAGGAATTATCTATGCTAAAAGATAAGCAGCGCTGATCAGGACTGGTTGGGTTTCTGGCAGAGAACTCAAGCGTAAGTTCACTCATTTCAGTGGAAAATGCATGTGTATGAAATGCAATGTTTGAAATTTATATTGAAATCTTTGCAAATTCAGCTGATAATTGATAATTGACCATTCCCTAACTGATTAATGTTGTTTTCCTTGCAAAAGTGTTCATCCCTCTTGATATTCTGAGAATTAAGAGAGTTATACCTCCGTAGGAGCAGTTTGGGGTGGTTCTTGCTCTCCAGGTTGCGTTCTATGAGGTCTGAGAGCAGGTGTTTGAGGATGTCCGTGGCATACTCCAGCCGTCCTTGCAGAGCCGTCATGATAAGCGAAGCAACGTAGCCGCGGTCACGCATGGAGAAAGATCGCTGCATCTCCAGCGTACGAATGAATGTCAACAGGAAAACCTTATTATTCACCAGCTGAGCAAACTGCTTCAAGGCTTTCTCCACTTTCGCCTGTCCACTCCCCGGCACCTACATGCATCATGGGTTTTTGCACACATACAAAAATGCACACACTCATTAGGTAGTGCTTCCTGAAGGATGAGCCATAACAGATGAAAATCGAGTGGAATATACACAAAAACTCATGTGCCACTGCAGAAAATAGCCAACCAGAACAACTCAAGTGGCCACAGGCTTTATGGTGCTGTGAGCTCAGACTGGAGAGGTCCTGACACAACTAATCCTGTCTTTTAAAAGTGCATTTTTTTTTCATAGAAATCATATAAGACCTACTTTTATTTCTCTTCCAAGGGCCCTTGACTTTCATGAAAACACGGTCCATTGTGTGCCTTTCTTTAATATGTATGTCATTTAAGCAAAATAATGACTGATTAAATCAACTTTATTTTGGAACACAACCAATTTTTCTCTCATGTAAGTTCTGGGGTTTTTTTTTCCACAAAAAAATAAAATGAAAATCAAGATTCATTAAAAATTGAATAAAGAGTGCTTCAAAATAAACCCGCATTATAACAATAATAAAAACAGCTTGTTAAAATGTGCTGGAAGTTAATTGACTTCAGTCAACAGATATGCATGATTAAGAAACTTAGGGGAGGCAACACGCCTCGAACATGATCTCTTGATAAAAGTCCTTAGCTGGTGTAGAAACTGTGTAACAAACTAACTTGAAACTATATACTGTAATTAGCGCTCACTTCACAGTTCTGCCAAAAAGCCAATGTCGGCTTAGTTTAGCGTGTGTTTGAGGCTCGAGGTCAAGCTCCGAAACCATATTTTAGTGGTGTAGCAGTGCTTCAAAGACTCCTCACCTCCAGCTCTCTCAGCACAGGGTGATCATCGATGCCGGGAAAGAGAACCCTCATGGAGTAAGTGCGATAGTCCAAGAAGGGAATGCCAGCTCTGTCCAGATCACTGGTTAACTCATTGATGTCCGTCTGTAGTTCTGCAAAAGCTTCACAAGGCAAAAGTGTTAAATATTCTGCTAGTTAGGATGTCAAGCATCCATATGTTGTTTTTATGGAGAAACAGAAATACTTTAAGGATTGTATTGCAGCAATATGATAAATATGCATAATTATTGGTGAGCACATCACTTTAAAACTAAGGTGTATGGTGTAGTGACATCTAGTGGTGCAAATTTTAAAATGCAACCAAATGTGCAAATCATCCTCTAAGCACATTAAAAACCAAAGGTCCTTTGATAATTTACTACAAATATGTTAGTCTTTAAATCAACCTACTAAAAAGTCATTTGTGAATAAAATGTAAAAGAAAAAAAAATCTGTATCTTGAGATCTGTATTCTACCGGATAAGCACAGTAATGCTGTGTCTGATGTAAAATCAGAGTTGTCAGATTTAACTGTTTTTTTTTTTTGTTGTTGTTGAAAACTGCATAAATGGTGTTAAAGTCTGTTTTCTTCGAGAGCTAAGTAGTGAAGCTACACGCTAACAACAGCCAGCTTGCTGTACTGTTGCCGTATTCAGACACGTGCAAAACGCTGTGTCCCGTCGAAAGTTAAAGTAAGCGTTGGCCAGCTTTATAGAGTGCATTTGTGCTAAAAAAAAAGGGGGTTAAACCTGCTCTCTGATCTGTGAAAAGAATGCTGTGTTGTATGATTTTACTGTGAGACTCTCTGTGGTCAAAGCCACAATGGAAATTGGTCGCCATTTTGTGTCAGCTCTCCTTAAAGTGGAAGGAGACGCCCACTGGAGGAACCCATCCTTTGCTTTTGAAGCCAAACCTTCGTCTGTCAGAAACTGACCCACTGGACAGGTGAAGACCGCACCAGGCTAATTTTCCAAGAATGGCAAGGCTGGCCAAGAAATACCTTTGCATTCCAGCCACGAGTGCTTCTTCAGAAAGGGAATTTAGTGGAACCATTGTTTCATGCCACCGGACTCTGTTAAAGCCAGAGACTGTGGACAAGCTGGTGTTCTTGTCCAACAATCTTTAGACACTAACAAATGAGAGCGAGATTTTGAATTTTAATTTTATTAAGTGTTTTAAGTATGCACTTTTTTATATGTAAAATGCTGCTCTGCTGTTCATTTCTTAAGTGAAAAGACTGGAAACTGTTGAGTTAACAACATATTATTTTGTTTAAAACATATGGCCAAAACTACATTTGATATATTTTGCACTACAAGAAAGAAGCCTAATACTTGATTTGTTTTTGATTTAAAAACTCTCTGGACCTAGTAGTGGAATTTTTTTGATTGAGATTTTGTGGTATAGCAGTTTTCAAAATAAATGATGGCAAAATGACACCCTATGCTTTTTTTCATTCCGTATTGCAAGTTTTATACCGAAAACTTATTGTGATATATATATTGTTACTGCCACCCATCACAATAGATATCGGGATATGAATTTTATGCCATATCGCACATTACTACTACTTACCCTCTTTACACTCAAGAGCAACTCTGGACTCCAAATTGTCCATCTGCATCTGCAGGCGCTTCAGAGTGAGGTCGTTCTCATGTGACTTGCGTCTGTAAGCCAGCAGGACGATGATGACAATGATGAGCAGCAGCCCTCCTCCAGCAGTGATACTGACGATAGCAGGGAGGGTGAGCAAACTGTCTGATCGGATGTGAACTTCTCCTGGAGAGATGTGAAGTCCCCCTACTTGGACCTGGATGAGAGCAATGAAGGCACATGCAAATAAGCAAGTACTCAAATACCAAAACGAAATGAATGAAACTGATTGTTTGCCAAGAATACTGAATTAAGGCTGAAATTTTGCTAAAGAAGCTAAAACTATGTTGTAACAGCTAAAAGACGTAAAAATCTAAAAGGAACAAAACACTTTCTGAAAGCTAAATGAAGTAAATTTCTATCTAAAATCTAAAATAGCAAAAGGCTTGCAAAAATTTGCAGAACTCTGGCAAAAAAGCCGGAATTAAGAAAAAGTTAGCTAAAAGGAGCAGAACAAAAGCTGCAAACCAAAAGTAACAGAACAGTATCCTGATGCATGCTCAATAATCCAGGTAGAAAAATCTAAAAATGTTAAATCTGGTCCTCTGGACATTCAAAAAAACAAAACAAAGCAAAACAACAACAAAAAAAAAATGTAGAAACGTTTCGTCTCTCATCCGAGAGACTTCTTCAGTCTGAGGTGCTGTATTCAGCTCAGTCTCTTAAATAGCACCTTCTCAGAGTGGATCAACCAGTTTTGCTGCTGACAACCAAAACCAGCTGATCACATGCTCAAGAAGGACCATCAGCCTAACAATGGGGACAGGCTGAACAAAGTTTCAGCCTGCCTCAGCAATGCCAAACCACCACCTTCCAACATCAGTAGAGAGGAGAGGGACGCACTCACCACTCTTAGCAAGGACAAAAACATCATCATTCTCCCAGCAGACAAAGGAAGGTGCACAGTGATTTTGAACCAGAAAGACTATCATGAGAAAGTTATGACACTCCTTAGTGACTTAAACACTTATGAACCTCTGAAAAGAGATCCAGGAAGTGGTTACAAGAAGAAATTGATAGATTGCCTGAAAAATTTGGAGCAGGACAAGGCTATTGACCGTTTTCTGTACCACAGACTGTACCCAGGGGAGGCCACACCTAGTCTGTATGGTTTACCTAAAATCCACAAACAAGGTGTACCTACATGGAGGAGGTAGAAAAGTGAGCCATGACGTCCTTTTCAGGGACACCACCAAGTCATTGGTTCAGGTATGCAAGACACCTGGGTTAAAATCAAATCCCAGGAAGTCCAACATTTTACTGACCACATCAACTCTGTGGATAAATACATCAAGTTCACACGAGAAGATGAAAAAAATGGCAAGTTGGCTTTCTTGGACTGTGAAGTCTCAGTCTCTGATAGAGGACATTTGCAAACTGAGGTGTACTACAAACCCACCCACACAGACCAGTATTTGCAGTTTGACTCCCATCACCCTTTGGAGCACAAGTTAGGCATCATCAGGACTCTGTATCACAGAGCAGACAGTGTCCCCACTAGCTCAGAGCCAGGCAGAAGGAGAAATCCCACACAAGACAGGCTCTAGAGCAATGTGGATATCCTAACTGGGCCTTCCTGAAAGCAGAGAAGAAACCCAAACAGGACTCCAGTCAGCCAACAGGTGAAAAGGAGGAACCCAGACCAAGACCAGTGGTCATTCCATATGTTGAGGGAGTATCAGAGAAACTGAGACGTTTATTTTCTAAACATAACGTCCCAGTGGCTTTTAAACCCCAAAATACATTACGGCAAAGACTGGTTCATCCCAAAGATCCAGTCCCCTGGCACAAACAGAGTAATGTTGTGTATGCTGTTCAGTGTCAGGAGGGCTGTGATCGGTCTTACATCGGGGAAACAAAACAGCCACTGGCCAAAAGGATGGCCCAGCACAGAAAATCAACATCATCATGTCAGGACTCTGCGGTCTACACTCATCTCCAGGCCAGCGGTCACTCTTTCAGGGATGAAGATGTGCACATCCTGGATAGAGAGGAACGATGGTTTGAGAGAGGAGTAAAGGAGGTCATCTTTGTGAAAAGAATTCGTCCATCATTAAACAGGGGTGGAGGCCTACGTGTTCAATTGACCCCCTCTTACAATGCTGTGATTGCTAGTATCACTCAGCCCTCTGTGAATAGTAAACAGCCATCAGTGTGCTAATGATCCATTGTTAGGCTGATGGTACTTCTTGCGCATGTGATCAGCTGGTTTTGGTTGTCAGCAGCAAAACTGGTTGATCCACTCTGAGAAGGTGCTATTTGGTATGGTATGGTATATAGTTTATTCATTTTAAAAAAGTACAAAACAATTCCATAACAATATAAAAAAAGATACAAAAGATTTAAAATGAAAGGCAGCAGAAAGTAGAAAAAATCTTATTATATCTGCCCCTTTTTTCAAACAATTATTTCAGACATAATAATCTTCAAGTAACAGTACAAAATGAATAGCTTTCTAATTTTTCTAATTCTAATACAAAACGCACACTAAACTACTTCATATATACTTTTTTAACAATTCAGTTTTGATCTTTTTCTTAAATGTCCACATTGACTTGGCATTTTTAACATCACTCTCTAGACCATTCCACAATCCAACTCCTCGGATTGAGGTAGACCTTCCCTTCAGACTAGTTCTGAATTTTGGTTTGACAAATATCTCTATCCCCTTAAGATTGTAACAACTTTGTCTTTTAACAACATTTCTTTGGATATTTGATGGTAATGTGTGATTTTGAACTCTATACATAACTGATAAAATACTGTAATCTACCAAATCATGGAACTTCAATAAGTTCAGTTGATAAAATAATGTGCTTGATGGGTGACAGTAATGCTTTCTGGTGATAATTCTTACAGCTCTTTTCTGTAAAATAAAAATAGGTTTTGTAAATGTTTTACACGCTTTCCCCCAAACATCAATGCAATAGATTAAATGTGGAACAATGATTGTGTTATACAACATGTACAGAGCTTTATCATTTAATAATTCCCTGACTTTTGTTGGATTTAATATTTTATACCTTTTTATAATTCCTATCAAGCACT